AAAGGGCGACCCTTCTGCACCGCTAGCCGCAGCAGCCTAATTACTTCACGCGTCCGATTGCTCGGCGCTGCTGCAAGAGAGCTGGGCTGACATTGAAGACGTTGACGCTCCGAGCTGGAAGAGGTCACGCAAAAGCACTCTACCAAAGAAAAAAATTTGAAGAAGACCTTGAGATTTACATTAAACTCAGAAGTAACACTTAATAGATACACTTACACGCCTTCAATAGTTTTTTTTTTCAAGTTAAACATGCAAATTCTAGGGTGGATTGGAGACTGGAAGCAGAAGGCAACTATTATACAAAATAGCCATTAAAAAAGTCCACCTTCTCAATCTTGATTTCGAAAATAAGATCATTTCTATTATTGCTCAAAATGTGTGAGTGTTTGCTTTAAACTATTTCGAATCATTTGAAAATCTGCTAGTATAAGTAAGGCAGAGTAATTAGCGCCGCCCTGGGGCAGAGTAATCAGCGCTAGTACGAAGCGGTGCAGAAGAGTGTACACCCCGTCACAAATGAATCGCATGATCTGCCGTTGGGTAAAAACTTTAGTTAGGCCACCTTAGAGGCAGTGAATCGGCAAAATAGACCTTTCTCGGATCTTGGGAGTGTTTGGTGGAATTGGCAGGTGGGGTTCGGGTTACAGTGTAGCCCGAAAACAGTTCTGAAAAATGTGCATTTCAGGCTATAGCATAAATTGGCAAATGAGGTTCAGATAACCTGTTTGGAAGTCTTCCTAGCACCGCCAAAATTCGAGAAGGGTCCATTTTGTCGATCCACTGCCTTAAAAGCAGTGGATCGACAGAATGGACCTCTCTATTTATGGTGGTGCGAAATTTTACAACCTTTTACTGGCGGACACCCCAAATAACCTATCAGTGAAGTTTGGAGCGAAAAAGAACTTCTGAAAAACCCGGAATCCACTTTGGAAGTCTTCCAGACTTCGCACAATTTCGGACCCCGCCTATTTCTTACATGTAATCTGGAGTGAACGTGGGCACAGAGAGCTTCGAAAAAGCACTTATTTTCATTTGCAAGCGCTGAAAAGCTCAGATATGGCTTCAGCATGGTGAGTAGGCTCCGGAAACGTTAAAACCGGAAAGCCATTCTTGGAGGGAAGCTGCCTTTCAGCACGATCCACATAAGATAGTATATTTTCATGATTCCGGCACCTTTACTTATCAGGACGCTCATGACAAGGAAGCAAAATCTCACCTGTCTAATAATACATAGTATGGAGTGCCATCATAGTCGTAAACGTCAATAATATCACAACATTGCTCAGTATCTATCGCTCCAAAAGTCAAATGTATCCTGAAGAAAACTTCCCTTACCTTGTTAGGGTAACCATCGTTAACTCTTACCTATGCTTATTATCGGTTGTCAGTTGATAACGACATTGCGTTAGAGGTGGGTAATTTCTTGGATAGTTAGGGCTCGTGATCTGAAGAGGGACACGTAAATTCTCCAATTATTTATGATCAGGAATATCTTACATTCGTAGGTACAACAGAATTTTGATTGCAACCATTAGGATTATTCGGTGACGGCGTGATGGTGACCATGGACGAGGTCGTAATCGCTAAAATCAATCAATCTCAATTTTTGATTGATTTGTTGCAGCTATTAACGCATGTTTTGTCAATTGAAGACTATCACTTTTACATATTAAGCTGTCCAATGATGTCGCATTGCATTCACCACACCAAGTGATCACGAAAAACAGTGAATGGGCTATCATATCATCCTACTATAATAACGCGCTAAGGCCGTCTGTGT